GAAAGCACTTCTTTCAAGAAAATTACCATATAAGGAAATTTTCAAGAAATCAGTGGTGAACGGGTGAGAGTTTTTTTATACAAATATATTTTATTAAATATATTATATTGTATTTATTATATTTAAATTAAAAAGATTATAAAAAGTAATATCAAATAAAAACAAAGTTTTGTTTTAACTAATATTTTTGATTTAATCAAAGTTTATTATTATTTGAAATTTTTAGAAATTTTTAAAAAATTTAATATATTATATAGTAAAATCGATTGGATTAAAACTATATTAATATTAATACTTTATTGTTAAAATTTTTTTATTTTTCAAATAATATTTAGACATAATGACTTTTTTTTAAAAAAAACAAATATATATTATTAAATATAAGGCTTTATTAAAAATTAAAGTTATCAAATAACAATGAAATACAAATATTTAATTCAAAACAAAAGATTTTAATAAATCGATTTTTTTGTGAAATTAATAAAAGTTGCCTTATCATTACTATTTTTATTGTTCAACAATGGACATACTATTTTAAAAATATAAAATTTCGTTTGAATCAAGCTAATCCAGAGGTCAAAGCTAATGATATAAAAGAAATATCCACCTTGCACAATATGTAGGCACAGATACGGTCACGATTCTTGCATTAAGTAACTGACTAAGTTATTTAGTGTAAATAGAGGATGTTAACATGAAAAAAACATTTTTCTCTCAAACTAAGACGGATTGGGTAATTAGGGAGCGATTATACTGTATGTAAACATAAATGTAAGCACGATAATGGCTTAATATAATGCTGTTGCTCTATCATCACAAATTGGTTTCTGCAGCTAATAAAATGGCAGAGCTAAATTGTTATTATATATTTTCGCTCATTCATATATTTCCCATGATTGTTAAAAACACATGCAGTTTTTTTTTTCTTCTTTATTACTAAAAATTCTTGCAAAAAAAAAAAAAATAATAAAACTTTTTCTTGTATAACTTTCACAAATTTTTAGTTATTTATCTAGATAAAATCGCTCATTAGTAACTGTAAAGGTCAATTTACCGAATGTTATTATGCTCTCTCTTATTAACTTCAATTTCACATTCTAATACATTTTTTTTTTCATTGGCTGAGATAACTATATATTAGAATAATTAGAAAATAACAAGATTATAATACTAAATTACATTATTATTTTTCACAGCCCTTCTCTCCTTCCCTCTAAATTACTGTATATGATCGTGCACCGAACGGGGGGTTTTTTTTTTTTGCGGTTATCGGTCATGTGACTAAACTCGCGTCTTAATCGAGCACAATCCATCTACAGTATACAGTAGATTTTGTTAGATTCTAATTTTAAGTACTAACAATCACACATATTAAAAATATATATATATATAGTGCATCGATAAATTCCTAATGTCACGACTCGCAGAACACAAAACGGGAGACTGACCGTATGTTATTAAAGACAAATTTCGATCTTTCCCAGAGCGATTTAAGGAATTTCCCTTTGATTGATTTGATTCTGCTCTTAGAAAATGTATCAGTATAAATAGTTAACCTTTTTACGATATTTGTGTTCGTTAAAAGAAAATGACTATTTGCATGAAGATAAAATGGCATAAACTTCAATTATTTCATTCTGTAATAGCGGAATAGCGAAAATTACAGAAATTAATTAGATATCTTAAACAGATTAGATAGCGAAAATAGTAGCTATAGTATCTATTTAGCATTTAGCAATTATCTTTATTATATAGTTTATTTCGTTTTTATAATGCTATTTTACTTACAGCATATCGTTTATAGCTATAAACGACGCGAGTTTTGAATAAAAAAAGGCAATATATGTCGTATTTTCGATACCATAATTAATATTAAACTATTCTATTAGTCAGTATAAGTGAAAAACAGTGTGTTATTTGAATTATATAGTTTGGCATGATTTGTTATGACGTGTTATGACTAATTGAATTGAACCAAATAATTACGCCCAAGAACCCTACCTTTTAAACTGTTTCGTACCCTTTGATACATTTCCTTTAAAAAAAAACAAAGAAAAAAAGAATTCGATATGAAAATTAATATACTTTTAGCTCTCGAAATCCTTATTATACCTCCAATCTTGGCAATTGTTAATTCACCGATTCCCGTAATTATTGATACAGATGGTGATTCAGATGACTTCCTTGCAATCCTTTATGCTCTTAAATCTAAGGAAATTGATGTGCGAGGAGTTACTTTCCAAGGAGATGGATGGTCCCACGCAGGTATTGTATTATAAAGGACACAACATCGACATTTAACATTCTAACGCGATGGTTTAATGGAATAACAAGAGAATTTGTTAACAGCTTCGGCTCAGAATATAATTCATATAATTGATGATATTTATTCTGGAAAGAATATTCCGGTAATACTTGGACCAGACTATAATCTCTACGAGACAGACCAAGATCCTAGTTCATTAGGCTCCCCAGGTTGTACCTACCAGAAATCGGTCCCAGAAGGAGCGGGCGGAAGACGTGATGCAGACTTATTATATGGCCTTAATACTCAACTCAGAATATCAAAACGGATATGGTATGACGTTATTAAAGGGTTTAATATCACTCGCGACTTCGCCGACCTCATTGACTCTGTAATTAAACAAACTGGAAAGAAACCCACAATAATAGCAATCGGTCCTGGTACTAATATTGCCACCCTCCTACGTGCCTTTCCAATTTATTCCAAAAAAATAGAACGAGTTGTCTGGTTAGCTGGAGCTTTAGAAGTTCCTGGGAATTTATTTAGCGTTTCGAGTAATACTCGGGCCGAATTCAACGTTTTTCTTGACTGCGTCGCTGCTAAAGAACTACTTTCCTCCGACTTAAGCATCACCTTAGTGCCACTCGACTTTACCGGCGAAACGCTTCTCAATATTGCTTTCTTTGATAAACTATCAAATCTTACAAGTTTTTACGGGAAATTCACTTATGATCTTTTGTCTACTATTCGAACAACATGGGTTGGTGGAGATCCTGCGTTTTTTGTTGGATATCAACTTTGGGATCCTAAAGCTGTAGCCGTTGTTAAAGGAATAGGTGTCTCGGAGGTTGCATCAAACCGTTCATTGGCTGTTACCTGCGTTGGAGATATAAACAAAGATGGCCAGTTTCTAATTTCTCAAGTTTTAACCAAGGCTAACTTCCAGATTGCAACTAAGGCTGAGGTTAGTAATCCAATTGAAGATTCTCCATTCTTCAACGATTTTCTTGATGTGCTTAGTGAAGATTAGTTTTGTATAAAGAAAGTAGTTATAGAATTCTATTATTGATAAATTGCATTTTCCGAAATGCTAACAAAAATAAAATAATGGATAAATAATTGAATAATTACAGTAATAGTGAGCTCAACCAAATTACAAACCTTCAGTATATTTTGATTTTTGCCCAAATTAAGACAGGTAAGATGTTATAGGGAAAAAAGGGTTGATGCTAGTGACTTAAAATAGTATTACAATGATTTTACCAAAAAGGATAATTTAATCTCGAATTTATTATAGTTATTTTGTTATTTATTTTATTTGTGTATCATGTAAAAAATATATGACATGAAAATAATAATATTATTAATAAAATAATACCTAATATTAAGAAAATCTTATTATTATCACTCTGTTTTTATTTAATAAAGTTTTTTTAAATATGTAATTTGTCAAATAATAATTCTTTCTGTTTGGTTTCTCTTGTAAACCTATTTGAAAGTCTGTTTAAAATAATACAAAATTGAAAATTATAATATAATAACTTTGATTTATAACAACATAATTCATTAAAAAAATTAAATATAATAATAATATAATATAAATTTATACAAACTTAATTTGTTTTTTCATAATTTTTATTTTAATAAAAAAAGGTAATTGTTAGTTTATTATTAATCTAAGTTTCATATAATTATTATATAATGATAGATTTTTATATTTACAATTTAATTGCATATATAAAAAAACTATTTTTTACTTTTTCTTTTTATGCTTGAAATTTTCTTTTTAGGAAATTTTTGAGTTTACTTTTTTTTCATTTTTTTCATTTTTCTTCTTATTTCTTCTTTTTATATTATTTTTTTCTTTTATTCTTTCCATCTTTTCTACAAACTTTTTTTTTATATATTCTTTCCTTTTCTTTTTTCTCTTCTCTCTTTTTTACTAAATTTAGGTTTTTTTTTTTTTAAAAAGCTTTTTTTTCTTTAGACATCTTTCTTTTTTCAATATATTGCTCTTCATTTCATTACTTCTGGCCAATAGGTTTTCTTCTCTTAAAAACTATACAAAAAGTAACAAATCTTTTATAGAATATTAACTTTAGAAAATTTTCTCTTCCATGATTTTTTCAAAAAAAAATGAATAGTATATTCTCTTTAAAAAATTAATATGGCTATTATTATCAAATCTGATATTGTTTACTTGTTAATAGTAAGACTAGGTATATTTAAAAAAACTGGTATATAACTATTATTAACTAAAAATATTCAAGAAGTTGTATCTTACAATATCCAGAGTAATATGACAGATAATATCAATACTGCTAACTATAAGCTAAGTTAATTACAAGTATTATATCAGTAATTGGAGAACTTAATAAAATAATACATAAAGACTAGATTCTAGTTATCTTTATAATATGAACTAGTAATAATATCAAAAGTTTCTTGTTTTTTTCTTAGACAATATAGATGTAACAATTTTTTTGCTTTTATTGTGCCATATTCTATATTCTAAAATAATGTAAAACATTCCAAAACTTTTTAAAACCTTGCAGAACATCCTGGAACTTTTCAGAATATTATAGAACTTTTCAATATATTATTAATTATTAATTATTAATTATGTATTTATTATCTTTATATTTATTTGAGAAATAAAACATTATTATTATGCATATTGTTATCGGTATATGGCAAGTCTGTCGCTAATCTGGACCAGATCATCGCGTAATGGTAAGTATGTAGGGGCTTGTGTCACTTGCTAATCAGATGCACTTGACTCCCTTCTTTCTAGTTGCCGGTCTAATCCTATACCACAAGCCATTGTGGTCCCTCAAGATTCTATATGCGGCAAA